GACGTCTTATTGGTGCCCTCTCTGGAGCTAATCTTAAAAAAGCATTGTCAATGTGTCTCCGAACTGATTGCTGCGTGTTAAAAATGCATATATTCCCCAATAAGTGGAATCTATCAAGACATCGAGAACATCCTTTTCTTCCTTTCAATGGCTGACCTAGATACTGCAACAGCTAAGGCTTAAGTAGCTCACCTAGATTATTGCCAATTTGGCTCAGTATAAGTCTTCACAGTCAACTAATAAAATAATCTTTGCATAAAGTGTTCAATCTGCATAATGCATTCTGCTCACAGTGAACTCCATGAATTTAAAAGAGGCATTTTCCCCTAGCCTCGGCTGCCGCTTTTCGTTTTAAAAGCTTTGCTGTAAACCATTATCTACACGTATAAACTATACCCAGGAATCACAGCACAGGCCCCAGACCTTCTATTATCATCATCGCAGAATGGAAGAGCTGAAAAAAACGAACGCAAGATAAAATGATTTTTAAAATGAATTCAGCGCCAATGAAGTTTGATCGATTAAATAAGTTTTTAAAGGGCTTTTTTAAAATCTGCTCTCTGCTTTTAAGCATGTATGTTTGCTTTAAAAGAAACCCCTTTAGCGCAGGGGTAAAATGTAAAATTTGTTACTACCGGTTCTGTGGGTGTGGCTTGGTGGGGAGCAGGTAATGTGACTGGGTGGGCGTGGCCAACTTTTTAAAAAAAAAACTTTTCAAAGCATTTTTTCTATAACCTCTTCGGCTGAAGAGGTTGCAAAAAAATGCTTTGAAAAGCCTCTGCCGATCAGGCAACACAGCTGGGATCGTCAGAAGCTTTTCAAAGCATTTTTTTAACCGCCTCTTTGGCCCAAGAGGTTGCAGAAAAAAAATGCTTTGAAAAGCCTCTGACGATCCCAGTTGAGCCGCACGATCATCAGAGGCTTTTCAAAGCATTTTTTTGCAACCTCTTCAGCCGAAGAGGTTATAGAAAAAATTCTTTTTAAAAGTAAAAAAAAAAAAAAAAGCCTCTGATGATCGTGAGGCTCAGCTGGGCATGTGGTGGGGGGGGGGCACAGGGATTTTTGCTACCGGTTCTCCGAACCACCACCCACCATCGCTACCGGATCAGGCGATCCGGTCCGAACCGGGAGCGTTTCACCCCTGCCTTTACGAGTACCGAAAACAAGAGGTAAAATAATGGTATAATTAAACTATTTAAACTATTATTTATTACTGCCAATTATGGCCGTGGTCAGGAGTATCCCAGCAAACTGACCTATAGATTATAGGTGTTTCTGTGAAGAATATACAGGTAGTCCTCAACTTAAAACAGTTCATTTAGTGACCATTCAAAGCTATGACATCGCTGAAAAGGTAACCTAGGACCGTTTTTCACACTTACGACCATTGCCACATGATCAAAATTCAGGCGCTTGGCCACTGACTCACAGTTACGATGGTTGCCATGTCCCGGAGTCTTACGATCCCCTTTTGCGACCTTCGGACAAGCCAAGTCAAGGAGCCAACCAGATTCACTTAACAACGGTGTTACTAATGTAACTACTGCAGCCGTTCACTTAACAACTGTAGCAAGGCCGGTCGTAAAACGGGGCAAAATTCACTTAACAGGTATCTCAAAATATTGATGATGGTTGCATTGTCCCAGGGCCATGCGATCCCCTTTTGGGCCCTTCTGACAAGCAAAGTCAAGGGGGAAGCCAGATTCACTTAACGACGGTGTTACTAACTGAACAACTGCAGTGTTACGACTTAACAACTTGCTTGTCCCAAAACTGGCATTTACTTCCAGTTTTTGGCCAAACCTTGCTCATAGCAAACCACTGGTTCACGATGGTGGCGAATATTTGTAGCTCGGGTGGAGGATGATGGTGGAGGTTGGTTTCCTGAGCTTTTCAAAGGTTTGGGGGATTTTCCCCAAATTCCACTGAAGATGCTACCTAGTAACAAACCATTGGTTTGCTTAATGCAGGGGTCGGCAACCTTAAACACTCAAAGAGCCACAAAGGTCCTAACCGGAAGCCCCCTGTTCAATTCTGGAGCCATTTGGAAGTCCAGTTCCCCTACCATAGAGTCTCCTCCTAGCATGGCGTCTTTTTTCTCTGCCGACCGGAAGTCCGTTTCCCCCACCATAGAGTCTCCCTCCTAGCATGGCGTCCTTTTTCTCTGCCGACCGGAAGTCCGTTTCCCCCACCATAGAGTCTCCTCCTAGCGTGGCGTCCTTTTTCTCTGCCGACCGGAAGTCCGTTTCCCCCACCATAGAGTCTCCTCCTAGCGTGGCGTCCTTTTTCTCTGCCGACCGGAAGTCCGTTTCCCCCACCATAGAGTCTCCTCCTAGCGCGGCATCCTTTTTCCTCTATCTGTCCTAACCGAAAAGCCCTATCAATTGTGGAGCCAACTGGCAACAGGGAGCCGCAGCAGAGGGACGAAAGAGCCGCATGCGGCTCCAGAGCCACAGGTTGCCGACCCCTGGTTTAATGACTGAGACTAACCACCATTTATTTGCTTATACCGTCTCAGACAAATGGCTGTCCAGTCTCTTCTTAAAAACCTCCAGTGTTGGAGCACCCACAACTTCTGGTGGCAAGCTGTTCCACTGGTTAATTGTTCTCACCGTGGGGAAGTTTCTCCTTAGTTCTAGGTTTCTTCTCTCCTTGATTAGTTTCCATGCACTCTTTCTTGTCTTGCCTTCTGGTGCTTTGGAAAATAAATTGACGCCCCCGCCCCTCTTCTTTGTGGCAGCCCCTCAAATATTGGAACACTGCTATAACGTCCCCCCCAGTCCTTCCTTTCTCTAGATTGGCCATACCCAATTCCTGCCACTGTTCTTTATATACCCTCTTTCCCCGAAAATAAGACATCCCCTGATAATAAGCCCTCCCCAAAAATATTTAAACGCATGAGCAGCCAATCCCCACCATTTCTTCTGGTTTCCTCCATGGCCCCAAAGTAATAAGACCTCCCCGAAAATATGGCCCAGCACTTACTTCAGGGTTCAAATAAATATAAAACAGGGTCCTATTTTCAGAGAAACACGGTATTTTAGCAACGTTACGCTGTATTTGAAGGGTTCCTTTACGTGCATTCTTTCATCAGGATTTGAGACTAAAATGGGAGTCAATAAAACTCTTCAAGTGAACAAAAGAACGAATGACTTGCTGCTCTTAAGAGCCCATGCAATAAGAACAGAAAGAAGCTTTAAAGAGACCTGGAAACGGTTTTCCTACTAGCACCATTCTCCATTACGTGCCCACCAATATTTACTGTTCTGTTTTGGCCTCTAGTCAAAGCAGACTAGAGTTTGCCGGTTCTGCAAAATAAAAAAAAAAACCCGTGGAATGCATTTCGCCAGAAGCAAAAAGCAAAAAGGAAGATGTGCAAGAAGGACATTTCCAAATTCCACCCTTTTCCCATTTCCAGAGATAGCAAATTGATGGCTCCTCTGGCTTCAAGCCCTTTAACAATTAAGAACAAAAAGTGATCTAACTAAGATGGCGTAGAGTAGACACTTTCGTTAAATCACCCCTAGAAGGTTTCAGAATTGGGCCAAGCAATACATAAGCAAGCTCCGAAGGAAGAATCCGTTGATGCTATTCCCAAGGGCCAAAAAAAAAAAAAAGAAAAACCCTTGTCTGGAACATTCCCGATTTCACGGTTTGAGGGCCTCCCAGAAAAAAAAGAACAAATCTATGAAGCTGCAGAGTAATGGCTCCTGAAAGAAAGAGACGCACGATTCGAGACTTGCAATCTCTGCGCGGAAATAAAGTCAACGGAAGGAGAACTAGGCAGGCTGAATAGGCGGCAATGGTGCCCCCTCCCCGTTTTTATCCTACCTAACCAGAAATTTATTCTCCTACTATTTACATTTGGGTGCTTGAAAGGTACGCAGTCTCCGTTCCTTGCCTGGACTTGCATCCCATCAGTCACTGGATTGGTTGAGACCTTGGTCCTACCCAGTGGTGAAATTCAAATTTTATTACTACCGGTTCTGTGGGTGTGGCTTGTTGGGCGTGGCAGGGGAAGGATACTGTAAAATCTCCATTCCCACCCCACTCCTGCGGGAAGGATACTGCAAAATCCCCATTCCCTCCCCACTCCTGCGGGAAGGATATTGCAAAATCCCCATTCCCTCCCCACTCCTGCGGGAAGGATACTGCAAAATCCCCATTCCCTCCCCACTCCTGCGGGAAGGATGTTGAAAAATCCCCATTCCCTCCCCACTCCTGGGAGAAGGATATTGCAAAATCCCCATTCCCACCCCACTCCAGGGGGAAGGATATTGCAAAATCTCCATTCCCTCCCCACTCATAGGGAAGGATGTTGAAAAATCCCCATTCCCTCCCCACTCCAGGAGGAAGGATACTGCAAAATCCCCATTCCCACCCCACTCCAGGGGGAAGGATACTGCAAAATCCCCATTCCCTCCCCACTCCAGGGGGAAGGATATTGCAAAATCCCCATTCCCTCCCCACTCCTGGGGGAAGGATATTGCAAAATTCCCATTCCCTCCCCACTCTGAGGCCAGCCAGAGGTGGTATTTGCCGGTTCTCCGAACTACTCAAAATTTCCGTTACCGGTTCCCCAGAACTTGTCAGAACCTTCTGGATTTCACCCCTGGTCCTACCTGTGCCAACATAGCCTCAGTTTGTATATTCTCTCAGTTCTGATATCTCCCCCGCCCTCCGTATACACAAAGAGCCTCTGTGTTGCAACAAGGTATTCTTAACACATCAAGTAGAGAGGGACAAAATGAGAAGCTTGCAAAATCCCCATTCCCTCCCCACTCCAGGGGGAAGGATATTGCAAAATCCCCATTCCCTCCCCACTCCAGGGGAAGGATACTGCAAAATCCCCATTCCCTCCCCACTCCAGGGGAAGGATACTGCAAAATCCCCATTCCCTCCCCACTCCAGGGGGAAGGATATTGCAAAATCCCCATTCCCTCCCCACTCCCGGGGAAGGATATTGCAAAATGCGGTAGCGGAGATAAATTTCAACTCACTCTAAGATTTCCGATATGAATTCATATTGAACGAGTCCAGCGGGGAACAAGGTAGAAGCACAGGCTCCGAAATTGTAGAAGGTTTGGGTGATGTCCTTCAGCTCCGGGCACCAAAGACCAGCGTCTGCTAAGAAGAGAAAGAAAGGGTTGAGATCAGTAGACCAAAAAGAGACAAGAGGACAACTTGTGATCGGATTTCTGGGTTTACTAGCAGTTAGGGGGTAAATATTCCTTGCCCTACCCAGAGTTACTCTTCCCAAGTGTGGGAAGAAATATCCATCTGGTTCAGTTCCAAGCCGGGAGAAAAGAAACTGGAAACACGGAGGCTGATGGGAAAGATGGTTTAATGATGGAGCAGAACCACATGATGGTTTGAGGCCCTGGGCAGCTGACCACCTGGAGTGGCGAGTGAGGGGTTTTTTATACCTTCTTTCGGGCTTTGAACTTGAGCTTCCTGTTCCTGTGCAAGAACATGTATTCTATTGGCTGTTGTCAGATTCCCATGGGGTCATGTTTGTCTGAGCTCCTGGTTTGGTTGAAGTTTGCAGGGTGATGCAATGTCCTTAGGAGATTGCAATGCAGTGGGGGCTCTGGGTTTTCTGCTAAGTGGTCCTATTATGTCCTGAAGGACCATGTCTTAATCCCATCACTGCAGCTGTTGAGCTAGTAACATTTGGCTTCCCCATTGACTCTTGCTCGTCGGAAGGTCACAAAAGTTAATCTAATGGCCCCGGGACACTGCAACCGTCATAAATATGAGTCAGTTGCCAAATGCCTGAATTTTGGCATTCGTCTTGGAGCTCCTGCAATGGTCCTAAGTGCGAAAAATGGTCGTAAGTCACTTTTTTCAGTGCTGTTGTAACTTTGAAAGGTCATTAAACAAACTCTTGTAAATCAAGGACTACGTAACAGATATATACATATGTAGAAGGTATATAAATATGTTGGCAGCTGTGACTCCACAGTCAGGGCAAAAGTACACAATTCATAGGTTGCAGATTTTTCATATCCTAGAAGGAAGCTTCTCCCAGCCCTAGGAAAAGGTGGTTTTTTGAAACAGTTATGGGAGACCCAGGCTTTTTGCATCGAGCCCATGTTCTGCCAAGGAACGGCGTCTCCACCGCTTCCCCAGGGCCTGTTTAAACTCTGCTTTCATAATGAAGCATGAAAACAGTTGTGAAACCAGCTGGGCAAAAGCAAAGAAATATAAGACTAAGGTAAGTCATCTCTTCATTCATCCCGCGGTGCTGAAAAGCTTCCTTCCCTCTGTCATATTTCTTCCTTTAAAAGGTGTAATGCATAGAGTGGTTAAAACGACACTGCTTAAGTGGCAAGCGACAGGCCAGAGCAAGGGTCTCCAACCTTGGCAACTTTAAGCCTGGCTGACTTCAACTCCCAGAATTCCCCCAGCCAGCAAAGATGGAGGACTTCAACTCCCAGAATTCCCTGCCAGCAAAGATGGAGGACTTCAACTCCCAGAATTCCCCGGACAGCAAAGATGGAGGACGTCAACTCCCAGAATCCCCTAGCCAGCAAAGATGGAGGACTTCAACTCCCAGAACTCCCCGGCCAGCAAACTGGAGGACTTCAACTCCCAGAATCCCCCAGCCAGCAAAGATGGAGGACTTCAACTCCCAGAATTCCCTGCCAGCAAAGATGGAGGACTTCAACTCCCAGAATCCCCCAACCAACAAAGCTGGAGGACTTTAACTCCCAGAATCCCCCCAGCCAGCAAAGCTGGAGGACTTCAACTCCCAGAATTCTGGGAGTTGAAGTCCACCAGGCTTAAAATTGCCAAGGTTGGAGACCCCCAAGCCAGATTATGCCCTGCTCTTGCACACGCCTCGCTGTGGAGTCAAAGAAACGTCAATGAGAACAAGAGACGTTATTTATACACTGATACGTAACATGAAGCATAACCAACTTCTCCCATTACAGGTGCAATTTGCTCTTCAGGAAGTTGTTTATTCCATTTTTGCACCAACCACATTCACCCAGGGCAACTTATATAACTCCTTCTGGAGCCCAGACGTGAGAAATCACAAACCGAGACCTTTCTCGTCGTAGCAAGTCAAAGGAAGTTAAGGTGCTGCTCCCACACTGATGAAGGAAAGATCAAGCTAGGAGTCCCAAAAGTGCTTTTCTTTTTTTTTTTCCAAGAGGCGACTGGACTTTCTGATTTTTCTTTGAAGGAGTTTCGCTTCTCATCCAAGAAGCTTCTTCAGTTCTGACTGGATGGTGGGCAATGGAAGGATTTATACTCCTTGCAGACAGCTGGTCATTTGCATCCTTTTAGAGGGTGGTTGAGGCCACCTGGAGGTTTCTCTGTGCCTCTAACACAATGCCTTAGTTTTATCCTTGGGGTGGGCGAGCAGAAGCTTGTCCACCCCAAGGATAAAACACCCAGACAGAAACTGATCGACGTGGTATATGCAGTACAATGTGCAGATCTGTACATTGGGGAAACAAAACAACCACTTCACAAACGCATGGCACAACATAGGAGAACAAACCCGTCAGGACTAGTTTCAACAGTCCATCTGCATTTAAAAGGCACAGGCCACTCTTTTGAAGACAACAAAGTCCATATTTTGGAAAGAGAGGACTGCTGGTTTGAAAGAGGGGTCAAAGAGGCCATCTAGGTCCAAATTGAACAGCCCTCTCTCAACAGAGGGAGGGGATATGACAACATCTATCTCCAGTCTACAACACAGTCCTTTCAGCAGTTCCAAGGAGGCTCCACACCCATTTGCACCACTCAGGTGACCCTGAGGACACAGATAAACCTCCAAGTGGCCTCAACGACCCTTTAAAAGGATGCAAATGACCAGCTGTCTGCAAGGAGTATAAATCCTTCCATTCCCCACCATCCAGTCAGGGCTGAAGAAGCTTCTTGGATGAGAAGCGAAACGTCTTCAAAGAAAAAAACCAGAAAGTCCAGTTGCCTCTTGGGAAAAAAACATGACCTGGATGACTAGGAGGTCTCTCATTCAAGGCCACGGCTCGTCGTGTGAAGATTGGGGCTGCAAAGAGTCATGGGCATTCATTGCTGGCCCGGATCTTTGGTCCACTGATTTTAAGTGCTTCGGGGAATGAGCCAAGGTAGCAATTTCATAGCTTCCCACGGTGCCAGGAAGTTTGACTCAGAAGTTCGTCCAGCTGCCAGTGGGACGGCACAAACACAGCTGCCAGCATCTTCTCTTGCTGCTTTGGCTTCTCGCTGGGCACCGTGTGGGAGAGGCCAAGATGCCCCTTGGAGCGACTGGGCTGGGGAAATGAATGCGAGGAGGGGATGCCAAGGTGCCCTAGCGTCTTAGCTTAGCTACGGAGGGGAGGAGACTCCAAAGAGCGATGGATGGGGAGGGGCTGCCTTGCTACGCAAATGCCCGAAAAAACTCTGCAAAACTCTTCTTTGCAAGGTGTCATCTCAAACTGGAGCTAATCCGAAACTTAATCAGCTTAGCTTTTTAAGCCCCGGGATGTCACAGGGAGGCGCAGGGAAGCAGCCGCAGATAAAGACCTCTTAGGGGAGATTTCCACCCAAATTCTGGAGCCTGACAGTCTGTTTTCTCCATCCCTTCCCTTTGGCTGGAGATGCTGATCACCTGGCGGGCCTCTCCAGGTGACTTCGACGCTGATTATCAGAGAAAAAGAGGATCTTCGGCCCAAAACCTCTGCTTTGCTTTGCAAGCCGTTTGCGGCCTGCTTTCTGTTCGGTTGAACAACTTTTCCAAATGGAGAGGGGGGAGAAGGATGGGAAGAGGGAGGGGAGAGAGGGAGCAGGAAGAGGAGGGGATGGGGAGAGAGGGATAATGGGAGGGGTAGGGAAGAGAGGGAGCAGGAAAAGGAGGGGAGGGGATAGGGGAGGGAGGATAGTGAGAGGAGAGGGAGGGAAAAAGGGAGAGGAAGGAGGGGGAGGAGGGGAAAGGTAGGGGAGAGAGGGCACAGGAAGAGGAGGGGAGGGATGGGGAGGGAGGGACAGTGGAAGGACAGGGAGAAGAGAGGAAGGGAGAGGGAGGAGGGGAGAGGATGGGGAAGAGGGATAATGGGAGGAGGAAGGGGATGGGAAAGCAGGTGAGGGAGGGTGAGGAGGAGGAAGAGGAGGGAGAGAGGGAGCAGGAAGAGGAGGGGATGGGGAGAGAGGGATAATGGAGGAGGAGGATGGGAAGAGCGGGAGAGGGAGGGTGGAGGAGGAGGGGAAAGGTAGGGAAGAGAGGAGCAGGAAGAAGAGGAGGGGGATGGGGAGGGAGGGACAATGGGAGACAGGAGGGAGGAGGAGGAGGAAGGGAGAGGGAGGAGGGAGGAGGGGAGCAGGAAAGGAGGGTAGAGGATGGGAGAGAGGATAATGGAGGAGGAGAAGGAGGATGGAAGAGTGGGAAAGGGAGGGTAGAGAAGGAGGGAAAGGTAGGAAGAGGGGGAGCAGGAAGAGGAGGGGAGGGGATAGGGGAGGGAGGGACAGTGAGAGGAGAGGAGTAGTAACAAGGGAGAGGAAGTAGGGGAGAGGGAAAAGGTAGGGAGAGAGGGCGCAGGAAGAGAGGGGATGGGATGGGGAGGGAGGAGGGAAGGAGGTGGGTGGGAAAGGGTAGGGAGAGAGGAAGAGGGGAGGAAGGGAGAGAAAGGGAGCAAGAAGAGGAGAGGAGGAGAGAGGGGAGAGAGGGATAATGGGAGGAGAGGAGAGGAGGAGGATGGGAAGAGCGATGGGAAAGGTAGGGGAGAGAGGGAGGGGATGGGATGGGATAGGAGAGAGAGGGAGAGAGAGGGACAGTGGGAGAACAGGGAGAAGAAAGGAAGGAAGGAAGGAAAAAAGGAAGGAGGGAAGGGAAGGGAAGGGAAGGGAAGGGAAGGGAAGGGAAGGGAAGGGAGGGAGGAAGGAAGGAAGGAAGGAAGGAAGGAAGGAAGGAAGGAAGGAAGGAAGGAAGGAAGGAGCTCCAGTCAAGAGAAGGACGACAGGTTCCCCTGTCCCTTTTCCTCCCTCACCTCACAATTACCCGATGGCCGGCTGGGTCCCATCCCATGCAATTTTGCAGAGGCTCAACAGGGCGTGGCGTAGCAGCAGTAAAGAGCCTCTGGGGATTTGGAAGGAAAATGGAGGATGTGGGGGAGACTGGGAGGCCCAGACCAAAGAGC